TGTACTCTGGAATTCACGAAACCATACAGCTTTTTCATATAACTACATCAGAGCTTCAGAATCTAGCTATATATTCTGCTAACATTGGAAATAACAAAAATTTTAAATGCTAGAGAGAAGGTACCCATGCCAATTATGGCAAATGGTCTTCAATGGAATGACAGCATCAGAATAAATTTCTCAAGATGTGCATACATCATTAAATGACAAAGACTAATGTGATGCTCCTCCATGTTATTAAAGAAAGAAATGGAGAAAGTATTTCTTTTGTCTGTGACTAGAACAGACTGGCAGGGAAAACCTCATTCAGCTCCAACCAAAAGGATCCACATATCTTATTGGATCTACAGCTTAATTAAACACATCGTAAGTGGATACTGAAGCGTACACAATGTGATCCTGTTAAGTCAACCATTTGGCTGAGTTTTATCCAGTCATCTCTCCAGCTGATTACTAACATGAATGATATCTGCACAAATCAAACGAACCACACCAGCAGAAGTCTGAAGATAGCTGCCTATAGGCTCCTGTCGTTGTACAGTTCCATTAGTTTTCTCCTGCTCCTTTCCCTCTCCCTGCAGCAGCAACCACAGAGTGCACTGCTGCCTGTACAGCTCTGTCAACACATGTTCATGGTTTTTTTGCCTGGGCTTGAGTAAAAGAGGACTCCTGGCAAGACTTCCTCCAAATCCACTGATATAAAATAGCTGTTAGATGACATCACACCAGCCTGGCATGGAGCTTTTTATAAAATGCAGAGTCATGCATTATGAAAAAAAGCCATCAAACAGAGAAACAAATGTTTGCTCTGCTCTGTCGTAATCAACCTGGATAAACTCGTGATAATCTGGTTGCAAAAGCAGTTGGGTGTGCACACTGTAGGCAGAGTAGCCAGTTGCTCTTGATGGTAACAAAATCCCAAAGATTGCTGCGACAGAGCAATTAAGGTTTTAATTCTTGGAATGGGAATAGCAGCTGTGATAATGTTTCCAGGGTCAAAGCGACCCACAGGTATGTTCAGGTTTGTTCATTTGGATCTACTCTGCTCTGGTGAGACCTCACCTGGAGTACTGCGTCCAGCTCTGGAGCCCTCAGCACAAGAAGGACATGGAACGGTTGGAATGGGTCCAGAGGAGGGCTACAAAGATGATCCGAGGGCTGGAGCACCTCTCTTACGAGGACAGGCTGAGAGAGTTGGGCTTGTTCAGCCTGGAGAAGAGAAGGCTGCGGGGAGACCTGATTGCGGCCTTTCAGTACTTAAAGGGAGCCTATAGGAAAGATGGGGAAAATCTTTTTAGTAGGGCCAGCTGTGACAAGACAAGGGGTAACGGTTTTAAACTGAAGCAGTGTAGGTTTAGACTGGATATAAGGAAGAAATTCTTTATAATGAGGGTGGTGAAACACTGGAACAGGTTGCCCAGAGAGGCAGTGGAGGCCCCATCCCTGGAAGCATTCAAGGCCAGGTTGGACGGGGCTCTGAGCAACCTGATCTACTTGAAGATGTCCTTGCTCACTGCAGGGGGGTTGGACTAGATGACCTCTAGGGGTCCCTTCCAACCCAAAACATTCTATGATTCTATGATTTCCCCCGCCTCACAATTAATCAGCCAAGAAACTGAAAAGATGCAGGCAAATTCAATTACTTTTGCACAATCACACTGCTATTACAGCATAATTTGTATTCAGTCACTGGGCACCTTAAAGGAATCGTTGTGGTCTGTTAGTAATTTGAGGACTGGGCTGTTCGGGTAGTAGCCTAATAACTTGGAAGGTTCTGGTCTTTGTTAAGAAACTCTTAATAGGTATGTGACATACAGGCAGTTCCAACCTCAATTAAATGGTCAGAGGCAGATAACAGTAAAAAAAATGCAAGGCATCCATCATTCATAACGTTATTTGAAGTGCCTTGCAAAGGAAATGAAATTTCATGCAGACTGGGAGACTTAATGTACTTTCTGAGAATTTCTTCCAAGGTTCAATTCATATAAGGTCACATTACCCCTTTTAGCTTCAGAAACTAGGATTAACTCAATCTTCTTCGTTTTGGAGAAGCACTTCTATTTGAGAAACCAGTGATATAATCTACTTAACTGATAAACATTTAACAAGTTTATTCCTTCAAAGGAGGTGCTAACTTAAAATACTAGCAAAGAATAAACAAATTTAATTTATTTCATTAAGAATCACCACCACTATCAGACCTCTCATCTAAATAAAGTTTTGGGGTTGGGATTGTTGGTTTTTTCCCTTCTTTCTGTCCAGTGTAATGAACTTAGTCATTTTGTGATCACCTAGATAGCCTTTCCTTACAGGAAAAAATGAAGAGGAAATCCAATGTGTATAATGAAAACAGGGAGATATTTTCTCATAAAATCAAATCTTCAAATTTCAATACATGTCTTCTGTTATGGCAGTGCCCATGAAACTTCTTTTTTTTAATTAATAAAAACAAAGCCACTCCTTTATATATCCTTATGCTAGCAGAGAAACCAGAAGGTGAATTGTAGAAGGAAAGAGTTAAAACTAACTGGATGGATCAGTATTGTTAATAACATGTTCATTTCAGACTTCTTTTATTATTGCAAACCACAATTTCTCATGCAGAAGCATGAAGCCATGGATAACTAAGCAAGGTACACCGTTGTGAAACCCACAGGACAGCATATTTGAGAAGATACCATAAAAACATCATGATTTTTAAAATACAGGGTTTTTTTAAAACTTGGATAAATCTATCATACTATGTCAAACGGTCCTGACTGTACAAACAACATTACATCAATATATTTAGAGTTGGCACTACGGCCTATTCTGCAACAACTCAGAACTAAAGAACACACTTACTATGCACTATTCCACATTGATAACTAAGGCATTAGCAGCTGACTCCCAGTATCATGTAATCATCCTTGGTGCCCAAGCCGAGTTGCCATTTTTTCCATGGATACCTCTTCCCTTCGGAATGCCCTAGCGTCAGGCCATCTACTCTAGGTACCTGCTAGCCCTCCCCTCTGGTAGGATTACGAGATGTCTGAGGGCAACTGACCGTTACTGCTTTTTCTGCCTGCAAATTGAGTGTAAGCAGAATACATAGACCTTGGATGGGAATTTCCAAACTTTTTGTTGTTTAGTTTAAGTGCCAGTTCAGACCAATCTGCCAAAATCCATAAATCCCTGCCATGCCCACTGTAAGTGGGCAAAGCAACTTTGCCACTCATGTATGGCATACGTGGTCTGTGCAGGAGTAACAAACACAGTGTCTACAGCACGTACCTTGCCGTGCATGCACAGGCCATCAGTCAGGAGTGCGAGCTGCAGGTCCTGGGACATCTTCTCTGCATCAGGTGTACCTGTTCCCCTGCCTCTCTCTACCTCGTCTCTCTCAGAAGTATGTTCCCTCCACGCCTCCACCCAAGACAGAGACCTACTTACAACACTTGGAAAAAAGGGAGAAAGAAAAAAACCCCACATTGCTCCACTTGCACATCCTTGTCATCCATATTCGGTATCATCTAGACTGCAATCTTGCCCATGAAAAGGCTGTCACCCGAGTATTTGGTACGTGCAGGGATTTCTGTTGTTCCCGGCTAACTACCGTGCCGCAGTCCTCTATGCAGCATTAGCTGCAGGCAGCAATTTCTCCACCCAGGATACATGATCCTGCAAAGACAAATTTTAAGAGAGGAAGCTGAACACAAACAAAACACATGCACCGCCAACGCCACCGATTTTCTTGCTTGTATTTCACCGTAAAACATCTACGAAGAGCAGCACTCTCTTTCTTGCCTGAGACGAAAGCAGGGCACGCACCACACTCCCCTGCAGCATCGTGCTCTCACAGGCATAGCGAACTCTGCTCCCCTATGCAGAAAAACTCCGTCAGCGCTGGTCGGCAGCACTGCCGCACCTGATGCTTACGGAGCAAAAACATGGCTAGGCCAGACGTACATACGTGCGTGCCAATAGTAAGAATACTCGCTGCCCAAGGGTATTTCCAGCAATTTAAAAATACAACTTAATCCTTAAAAAAGTACTAAAAGAGAGTCAGCCACGGCATGGCCAGTACAAAATTAAATGTTAAAGGCAGACCTTTATGGGCCAAGGGTAAGACAGTGCCCACCGGGCATGCACACCCGCTTTCACGGAGAAATGATCCGATTAATTCGCGAGCGTTACCCAGGCTGCAAGCAGTGAAGGCGGTGCTGGGGTGCAAGAAGCGCCGGGCCGGACGGAAAAGCCAGAGGCAGGAAGGGCCGGGGGGAGCAGGGGTCCCCA